TTCTGGGAGTTTCTATACTGGGCATGACATGCTGCAGTATGGAATATCCCTTTGGCTGGTTTGGGTCAGGTGTCCTGTCTCTGCTTCCTCCTGGCCTCTTGTGCCCCTCCTCACTGGCAGAGCATGAAAGACTGAAAGGTTCTCGATTAGAGTATTACTGAGCAACAACTAAACCATCAGTGTGTTATCAGCATTGTTCTCAGACTAAAGCTGAAACACAGTGCTGCACCAGCTACTAGGAAGAAAATTAGCTCTATCTCATTCAAAACCAGGACAGCTGGCTGAGTTAGCTAAAAGATGTGCATTTCCTTGGGTTCTGTCCTGCTTTGTTCCTTCCTTAACCATGTTGGAACATGAGTTTAATACAACTGTCTTGATATTTAAACTTGTCTTCCATGGAGCTATGGGCTGTAGTGTAGGTGAGGGCTTCTCTCTCGGTCTCTCCTGAAGACTATTTGCAGAGAAGCAAGCAGCATCCTTGAATAGCCAAAATGGTTGAGACCCAGCCACCTCATCAGCCATGTCTTTGGGTGGTACAATTTGTGTTATCAGGCTAGTTGGCCTGAGAACTTCTCCTGCCTCTCATCTGCCCCTAAGATGCTCCCATGCTCTGACCAACGTGGCCCCAGGGAAGAGGATTTGCAAAAGCTGCAGAAGAGCACAGCTGTGCTGTTGTTTCTGCATTAACCACCTCAACAGCTATTAACTACTGGGTATCAAGACAAACATCACGTCAAGAAATTGCTTTTACATGTTGTGCTGCTGTTCCTTATAGCTATGGACTTCAAAATCATGTGCCATTGTTTGTTGTCCTTCCCACTCCCCCCAGAAAATCCAAACCAACCCCCCCAGGGTTTATGTCATTTGAGATATGGCTTGTCTTGATGCAAACACAGTTCTCAAGTTTCAATACTGCTGTAGCTGGATAGTGCCAGAATTAGCTGTTTCAATGGCTGAATCTGTTTCCTGGTTTCTCATAGCATGTAGGCATCATCAGTAAAATATTCATTTCATTGACATTATACAGTTCTGCACTCTGTCCGCTTCCCAACACAGCATCCATTTAGGTAGGAATGGATATCTTCAGTAGTGGGAGGAGTGTGTCTCTGGATGAAATTATGCACTACTGAATGAAATCCCAGAGGATACCATACACCAGTATGTTAAAGCTCCACAAAGCCATGTACTGGCGCTATTACTTTTGCTCATTCAGCCATTCTCTGCTTTATAGAACTTGGTTTATCTAAGCTTTATTAAACTATATTTTATCAAATTCAGATATAAGAAGTGAAATAAGAAACAATTTATCAAGAGCACTAACCACAATTAGTGGATTGTGGTCAGTCGGGATGACTCCAGGCAGGTTTTGAGACCTCCCTGTGTCGGTCTTCCTTGGCACTCTGCCTTGTTTTGCAGCAGACCAGCCTGAGGATGGGGTTATCCATTGATATGGCGCTTCTCATGGGGTTAGCTTGGACCATGACAAAGGAAAGAACGTGTGACTGCCATGATGGTATGCTGCTGCAACAAACGATGCCATCTCCTCTAGATTCACTACTTCCCTGTGCAGGGTGTTTTTGGGCGGTTTGTGGTAAGGAGCAGAGAAAGCAAACCAGAGCTTTCATTCTTCTAGGACTATGCCAAAGGAGCCAGCCTTTGTGAAAAGCAGACACTCGGGCTGCTGTGCAAACTCCCTCTAGCTCAGCTATTTTATTTTGCCTTCTTTGAGCACAGCCAGGACCCTGTACTCAACTGAGTTGGGCAAATCCATTCCAGCCCCCTGTCTCTCATGGAGACTCCATGAAGCTCTGGGTGCAGCAGGTTTACAGCAAAGCCCAAGCTTCATGCACTCCCATGGGGCTAGTACTCCAAAATGCTAAACCAGTGGTCCCTTTCCCAGTGCCAAACGAAGATCTTTATTGGGGTTGGATAGTATCTTAATTCCCACATCTTCTCCTTCTCTGCAGTTCCTTCCAGAGCTCCTAGCTGAGCTCTGTGTGGGTACTCAGCAAAGGCATTCAGCTCCAATTCTGCTGCAGACTTGAAGAAATGATACAGAAAATCTCATTTCAGGCATAAGCTTTCTGACCACTGTTGCTCTGATGGCATCATTTTGTTTTCTCTCTCTGCTGCTGGCATCTTGCTGGGTAGCACTTAAGAGGGTGGAAGGAAAATACAGTAGACAGAGGCAGATTTTGGAGGAATGAGGCCCTGGACCAGGGGTGACATGAGGATTAAAATGTTGATTTTTATATCAGCTGTTTTGTCTTTTTTACTTCATGGCCTTTTTAAATTGCTGCTATAGTCTAGTCTGTGTTGTCCTGGAAAGTGCCCTGACTGCTTTTGCTGCTGTGCCAGAGGCTGTTTAGAGCCTATGGTTAATTTGAGGATAAGTGCTTGTGGAATAAAAAGACAAAACAAAACACAAAAAATAGTTGAGCCTGTCTGAGGAGAATAAAGCAACTAAATCTGTCTGTAAAGATAAGGTAAAGGAATGCCAGATGGCAGATTTTCACTTGTAAGCTGGTGCTGAACATTGCCTCAAAAACGGTCTGGTGATGGAATTGACTTTTTCATGTTACAGTAGTTAGCAGAATGCATCTCACCATGAAAAAAATCCAACAGGAGCCACAGAAAGTTACAATTAAACATTCTCTTTATTGGGGCCTTGCTCTGAAATGGCACAAGTGATAAACGCTCAAAGTGCCCGTCAGGGCTGCTAATGAAAAGACCCAGAGTCATGTTTTACACTTTTATTTGGATTTAGATCAACACCACAGATAAGACATTTTGGTCAAACACAAGAACAGATTGCTATGCTGCTCTTTCCTGGCTGCAGTAAATACAGTAAAGTGGAAAAAAAAGTGCTGGTTCTCCTGGAACACCGAATGTAAATCTTGGATTAGCACATACAGCTAATAAATGTTGTTTGCACTTAGCACTTCTTTAAAATGGAATTGCACATGCAAGATGTAACCAGGCTACCGATCACTTCATCACTGTCCCTGTACTAGTTTTACTTTTTAAGCTCTTTGCTTGCCTTTTTCCCAGCAAGAAAAAAGGAATCTAATTTGTGGCTCTAAGAATTTCAGTGATTACTCTGCTGATTTTGACACATTTAGCAAAGGTCACATGGAAGGCCTTCCTCATGGAATTGGTATCTCCTCTAGAGCTTGGCTTGCAACACTAGGCATCGCAGGTAGCAATGGAAGTCCACCAAAGCGAGGTGAGAGGTCTACCAAAAAGCTGACGAGGAGAGGTTAATACCAAGCAAAGATATAGTAAAGGGACCGGCATGAATGCAGTTCTTACAATATCAAGAGTCAATACTACTACCACACAAATAATGACATATCAATAATATATTGTACAAGCTTATACAGCAACACATGTTGATTTGCAACATTGTACAGTTTAAATCTAAAGTGCACAGCCTCAATCTGAGGTGACAAAACAGTACTATCAATATAATAAAGGCAACACAATTACAGACACAATTTATTTCCTCTTACTTCATGTCCTCTTGATATTACATTGACTCAATACTCCACTTACTTATCTATTTTAAATGAAATTAAAACCACACTGCACTTTGCTTTACAAACAAAAGTTCAGGCAAAGTTGAAACCAAAACTTTAGTAGGGTTATAAGTAGACAGGCCTGAGCCGCAGAACTCTTACCAACACTTCCAGATGTTAGGGGGAAAGAGGATAAATTACAGTTTTCATGCCAGAGACACGTCTAATATTAAAGAATGATGCAGCACATGAATTCTTCAGTAGCTGTGCCCATGGTTTCCAAAAAGGTTGTGAGGCTCCTCATGGGCTGTTTTAGGCAGATGTAGCCTTATCTCATTTTTTTCTGCAATTTCAAAACCTGTTGCAGACAAGGATGGAGTCCAGCACTGGGAAAAACCTTTGACAAAGCAGTTTGTTACTTAGACCCCATCCCTGTCACTCAGATTAGTTACATTTAATTTAGGCCTTGTCTTGAAGACCTGTACACCTGTAAGAAGCCTTTACCTTCTTAATGCAGCTGTGAGGTTTCATTAGTAAGCATCTATTTCTTTAGTAAGAATTTCAGCCAATTTTAATTTTCAATGTCATTTTGGACTGCTCATAGCACAAATGGCTATGAGGTGAGCATTAATTCAGACATGTGACTTTTTTCTGGATAGGCTTTTTTATTACAGGACACAGAAACCATCCAAATACAACCTTATTTCAGTCTTGGTTAGCACTGTATATTGATTGTGTGTCTGCTTGTTAGGCCAAGTGGGAAACATAAGTAAGAATAATAGCATCCTATTATTGTACTGTAACTGATCTTATTAAGTGGTATTAAGAGCTGCAGTACTCTTGAGGTTTTTCAGTAATCAACCCTGGAGATGTACAATCCATATGATATGAAGAAATGAGGTATAGGAACCTCTTAAGAACGTAGTATGTGGGCTTATATTTTAAAACAAACAGTAATAAATATTTGAGGCACCTCCATCAAAAGAAAAAGGATCCTAGTTAATTTTCAGTTTCTGTCCTCACAGTTTTATAACCCATATAAAATAAAAATATATAGTTTACAAAATAGGATTTTTATATATATATATATATTTCCTTTTGTAAAACTATACCTATTTAAATACATTTGAAATGCTGCTTTAGGTAAATTAGAAATTCTGTTCTAGTACTACGAAAAAGGCAAAACATTTTCACTTTTAAACACACAGCTTTTATACTCTGCTTCTCACTGTCCCCTCCCACTTCCCCCAATGTGATTTTGTTGTCATTTTGGGCAAATTTACATCATTCAGTCCAATTGCTTTTAATTTAAAGTAGTTGCTGTGTTAAAATTGGGAAAAATATTTTCAGTATCTTCTGTTCTTCCTTATTTGTTTCAATGCAGCTTTTATGTAGCTAATTATTAAGGAGGTTTTCTAAAATTCAGGAAAGGACTTTAAAGGAGCCATGTTTTTTGATTTTAAACTGTACTCTACTCCAACGCCACAATATAGAAATAGATTTACTTTGGAACAAACTACAAATACATTCGCACAGTTTGTGACAACTTAATTGTCTACTTGGAAGTCCAGGAACAGACTTTCACACCCAATTATTACAAATCTTGTCCCAGGCGTTCTATTTCATCAATCAGGAAATCAATGTCTTGGTGAGTTGCTGCAGGGTTTGAGATGACCATACGGAAGAAATTCACTTTGTCTCCCAGGGGCTGATAGCTCACCATGGTTGTGCCATACTCCATCATCCTGGCTTTTATCACCGGTGCCACCTGCAGTGTAACAAAAAGCAGGGGATTTTGACCATGTTTATTATCATTATTTTCATTATTACCATCATCCTTATTATTATTACAACAAAACACAGAGCACGTTTTCTTTTTGTTTTTTTTAAAAGATGAAGAGCTACAAGAAGTAGTTTAAACGAAATTATGTCCAATATTGATGAAAACGTTAAACTCCATTATGGAATAAATGTCTCACTGAAAAGACATTTGGTTTATCCTGTTTCTTTGCCCTGTTCTTAAAATCACTGGGGAATTTACTCTCCTTCTTTCACAATATTGCTGACAGGGACACAGTGGCTCTTTTTTTTCTAGTGCTGAAAACACAGTTACAGTAATTTTCCATCTTCTTTTCATATGCGAGATTGCCATAGTATTACTAAGCTCTTGTTGCATTTGTTGGGTTTAGCTACCGCAGTTGACAGTAACTTCAGTAAATACACACACAGTAAGTAAGTGCTCTACAGATGAGGCAAACCAAGGGAATACAAACTTTGAGATCAGAGTAAGGTGGTGCCAGGCTAACCTGCAGTAAAATGACCACAGAGATATCATTTGCCAGAATATTGTGAGGTGACCTTGCCCTGTGCCCTGGGAGATCATTTCAGGGGTTGCCTGCCTTCAAGGGTTTCACTCTTCCCTGCATGATGTCCTGGAGGACACTGCTTACCTTCATAAGGCGGCTCATTCTTTCTTCATTGTCTTCCATACCGCGCAAGCTGGGAGGTATGTACCAGAAGCAGACGTTTGTGTGCTGAGGCTAAACACAGAATAATAATGGTTTACGCTGTAAGAAATGGTCATAATATCTCAATTGCAATTAAGTTCACGCCTTCTCTCCCTCTCAACACATCATGCTGTTGTCAGCAGTCAGTGGTTTTCATTATTGTGGTCCATTGAGAGTCATCATCATTATTAATGCAGAAAAAATAATTTTAGGCAATTTATTCCCAGGGTGTCAGACGCAGAAGCAGATCACCCTGCAGAGCAAATGCATTCATGCCCTACTGAGAGGCATCTAGTTTTCATAGGTGCTGTTCCCTCTAGAGGCAGAAGAGATTGTGCAGCTAAGGCTAGAGTCTCATTTAGAGATAAGGACAGTGTCATTTGCTGTTATTACATGAGAAAAAAATACAGAATGTGGTCCTGTAAACAGGAGCCACAGGTGGTGCAAGAGACAGTCTAAGATTGTCTTACATTTAATAAAATTTATTACTTCTCAGTTTGATTCAGCTAGCTGCGCTATTAATATGCACGCACCACAGCATCTTAGCTAATTTAACTTGCATGGGAGCACCAAGTAGAAAGGTGTAAAACCTAGCTGACATTTTGTGTATTTTTGCAATGTCCCAACAGTTGCTTGCCTTGCTTTGTTCCTCTTTGCTGGATGCTAAATGTATGAGTTACAGCAACCTCTGTTGCTGTTCTCTGCTGCCAGTTCCTTTACTCATCATTAGACCCAGTGGACCAAATTCAGTGATGATGTGTGAGGCAGGGGAAATAAATCACATAGGGGCAAACAGGTATGAGCCTGTGATCTCTGCTTGAAGAAATCTAGTGGCTTTATCCTTGTGCTGTAGAGCACTTAGGCATGCACTAAGTGATCGCTACCAGGGAGCAATGTTCTGAGTGACAAAATCTTCCAGGGCAATTACAGAGAGCAAAAGCTATCACAAATATGAGGAAAAAAGCTAAAATGAGATCTTTTTTTTTTTTTCTGTTTTACAGGCAAAACACCAGTTAACTTTGCAACAGGTCTTCACCAGCCTGTCCCCACCCAGAGAGGGTTGCCCACAAAGAGATGGCCAAACACCAATCTGATGCAGTTCACAGGTGCAGCCACGCAACCCAGGCTGCACTACTTTGCCCTGGACACTGTGCTCCAGCTGAGTACCTGGCACCTACGGTCCCATCTCAGCTTTCCACCCCATATTAAAAACATGCCTAGAGATATTTACACTCTCCACCGTGGCGTCACTTCTGCCACATGAGCCAGCCAGGCTTCCGAGCAACACTAGCCACTCTGCTGCATCCCATCACAGCAGGGACTGTGGTCCCTACAGGTCACCCCAGCTCCCTGCAGGTCTCCTGACTGCCCACTGGAGAACGCTGATAAAAGCACTTTGCACAACTGTCCCCATTCAGAGTTGTGTGGGGCACTGTAACCCACACTTGTAACAGACTCTGCTATTACGAACCGCAACTTCTATTCGTTACGTAAGAGCTGGTTCCAACTGTGTGTGTGCTGTGTTAGCCTGAGATGCCAGTGTTTAGTTTCATCAGGGTGAAACTGAGCAAACTGAAAACGTATGCACAGCTGCCTCAAATCTCTTGTCCCTGGATCACACAAGGCAGAGAGATGGGGAAATGGTAAGATTCGTTACAAGGGACACTGCTTTCTGTCATAAGCTGTTTGGTTTGAGGTGTTGGTAGCATCCCAATAGGTTGGCTAAGGCAAGTGCTGTTGCCCAAATGGGAAAAAGAAGTTGCAATACATACCTTTCCGTCAAACACCATTTCATACCCTTCTCTGTTCTTTATTTTATTGTATAGGTATTCAGCAAGTTCCAAGCACTTATCAATTTGTGCTTCAAATCCTGTGGTTCCCTTTAGAAAGAGAGGGAGAAAACAAAGCTGCATAACTGTTCTGTACACCAGAAGAGTGAAAGAACCATGCAGCACTTGCCGAAGCATCAGCACAAGTCACTTAGCGGAAGTCTCTCTGGGACAGATGAAGGATCTGATTCTGTGAGATGAAGGACTTTGCTAAGCAGAGCTCTTTTGCCTCTAGCTCTTGCCACTGACTTCTCTATAGCCACCTCTACAAAATAAGCACCAGGTACTAGCTTGGTTCTCAGCAAAATATTACTGACACCTTCAATGAAGGGCATCCTTTGTAGATTTTGCAGAGAGCCTGAGCACAGTTTTGGATAGCCTGGACTGGCACAGAAGAGTGTGTCCAGAGGTGCTGAGTTTCAGACATGGGGAATCTCCTGCTATTTTGAAAGTAGGGGATTTTAATCTTCCAGGGGTGATGTGCTGGGGGCTTTTCAAGAATAATTTTTCTTTTCAGTTAAATGCAGAATGGGCAGATGGGCTTTTAAAACCTGGCCTGATGCCTGTGAAAATGCACATTTTGTTTAGATACTGCCCTGCCTCTGTAATGTTTTGTCTCTCTTCTAATAAACTCAGAGGCTGTGGTTTTAAGAGCTGCAGCAGATCTTGGGTTTTCTTCTCTGGCAGAAGTCCATAATCCTTTCCCTGTGACATCATAATTGTTCCTGCAATCACAAGCTGTGATGCCACAAAGAAAGGCTCCAGCTTCATGAGGCAGGAAGGGGAATAAACAGCTGGAATAGACAAACTGTTTAAGAAACACATTATATCATTAATATTACAAGCCGGGTGTGAGAAGAGAAAAAGCAGTACAAGGCATATTGAAAAATCAGGGTTTAGAAGAAAAAATGTCTGAATAATAGATTCACGTCCCTGCTAAATCTGTTCTGGCAGTGCAGAACTGACTTAAAAGGCCACGTCATTATCCCTCTGTGTATTGAGATTTCAAAACAGGGTAGAGCTAGCACAGCCCCAGGAGAAAGTCTTGAAGTGAAAGAGAGACATGTGGCTAAAATTGGCTGCCTCTCTGGAGACACCAGTTAGCACAACAGTTACTGAGACCACAGAAACTTCCACCCTCCTTTAGAGACTCCCACACCTCCAGCGACATTTGATGTCTGCCTCAGAACTGCTTTCAGAGTTTTAATGAAGCACATGAGGATCTTCAAGGCTTTCTGAAAATTAAAACAGTGATGTCATCTCCTCTGAAAAAACTTGAGGCAACTTGACATAACAGACTGGATAAATACATGGAAGAACTTAGCAACGTTCTACAAATACAGATGAATTAATCAGACTTCTCAGAGAACAGATTTTGATGAGTTTTCCTCCACTCCTTCAAAAGATGACTTTATATCTTCTGCATGCACTGAAACTGGGTATTCCAGTCTTGATTTGCCATGTTTAATTTCTGAGTGTTGTTAAAAAATCTTTTTATTTCCAGAAATTTTCATAACAACATTCCTAGGTATATGATTTATGTTGTTAAGACTCCTATAGTTACACAAAGCAAATGCTGTGCAAAGCCATGGAGTTCAAGTTTCAAAATCATGTGTGCTGCTTTGAAGCTAAATCGTTAAAAGTGAAATCCCAGAAAATAATAATGTTCTTTCTTTCATGTTATATACGGGAGATTCAGGTCAGATATTTTCTAAAATGGTGATTGCAGGAAAAAAACCTGTATCTGGTGTGCATTATTTTAATGCAAACAAATATACTGCAGGCAGTCCTACCTTTGCCCTCCACATCAACCATAGCTTGAAGACGTCAACATGCCGCCCACACTGCAAAGCCTTGTCTCCAGTGTCATAAGACAGGTCATAGTGCTTGTCTTGTTGAAAGAGGTAGGAGGCATGCATTTGATTGCAACTCTGCATCAATCCCTTGTAGAAACAAAGACACAAAAACGTGATTTTGGCACAGATGTGACTACTGTTTTGAGGGCTGCTTTGGGCAGGAAATTACAAACACCCAAATTCGCTGGAATATGTGTCGAAGTGCAAAAGGCAGACCAAAAAAAAAAGTGACAAAAGCAGACTTAGTTGGTCAGTAGTGGACTAAGTTTGTCACATCCCATTCAGGGCCCAGGACATTTCGGTAATGTGGAATGCAGTTTCAGAGCCAAGACATTTTTTTTTATTGAAAAGCGGGACATGGTGTTTCTTAACATCATTACACATTAGTTTATTTTTGGATCTTGCCTTTATACTTTTCCTCCTTTCCTCAGAAGGCATCTTTTCTGGTTGAGTCAGACAAAGCCAATTTGGTGACACTACTTTTCTAATTGCTTTGGACTCTGAAATTCTGATTTTCATTGTTTCCTTTCTCTGTAGGCACAGCTCTTTTCTGCAAAGCCCTCAGCTGCATATTGGATGCTTAAGTGGTATAGAAAGCTTTGAAAAGACCGAAGAGCTTATGGGCTTTAAACAGCCAGCTAGAGCTATTTCTGGGTTTCAAGACACCATTCTGAGAGGCAGCTTTGTGGGAGGGCCGGAAGCCAACAAGGTGAAGACACCTGGCTCAGAAAAGCACGAGGTTTCCTTTTTGACGTTTTAAGTGAAATGCAGGGAGCCATATTCTGGCTCTAGTTAAGTCCTTAACCAAGTTTAAGGTATACCTTAGGGCTGTTGCCTAAAACTGCTATTTCCAGTCCAAGAAGAATCAAAATACGGCTGTTTATCATCAAGTCTAATCTTTATGTGTAACTCAAAACCGAGATAGCAAAATAAGAGCAAAAAATATTACTTTCTCCTAATCTGAGCCATGTGTTCTCACTAGAGGTCAAGGATGGTACTTACTTCAGCCAGGCAGGACTTGTCTCAGGGAACTGACCCAGAGGGCAAATAAAAGCCAGCTTCTCTTTTCCTAAGTGCAATCACTTTGTGTGCAATCTGTTGTACAGCTGTTAGCAAAAAAAGGAACCAGCTTTTTGATAGCTGGTCTAGTAAGTGATGGTTGTATAGCAGCTGTCCCAGTAACTGATGGTTATATGAGAATTACAAGCCTGGAGGGTAATTTGAATTCGAGTACTAAATGAAAAGTCTACTTTTTACTCCAAATGAACTTAGTGTTCCATTTTTAATTCCACGTGCCCCAAAGTGGATATCTAGATCAGGGCTGGATGGAAATATCTACCATAAAAATCTAGAAAGTGTAATGATGCCTAGATCCTGAACCAAATGTTCTGCACACATACCATACCATTCACCCCAAGAGGACTTGAATTTGCCTGCAGCTACATTTTATGTTACACAGCAGTTATGCACTGTTACACAGTTATGCACTCAGTATTTATCTATGGACATTTTGAATGGAAAGCCACAAAACTCTGTAAAGATTTTGCCATGGATTAGGTCTATTATTTCTGGTAGACAGCTGCTTTAATTCCTTTTGCAGTCACAGCCTGAGCACTAGAAGTCTATTTCTCAGTTTCTTTCATAACCCTCCTCACATTAGCTAATATTAGCTATGGCACAGTTATGAAGAAAACATCCAGGATATTTAGAAGCAAAATGTCAGAAAAGATCAGGAAAAAAAGAAGCAAGTATACTGGGACATACCTCCTCTCTTACTAGCAGGGCTGAACACTGCAGTGGGACGCCCATCATCTTGTGAGGGTTCCAGGTCACTGAATTGGCCCTGGGACAGTAAACCACATGAAACTCAAACACTGTACTATGGTTGTGAAACTATGCAGACATTTAGAAATAGTTAGAATAATAATGAACAATGTGCACCTTTTTCTGAGCAAGCAAAGCTGAAAAGAGTCATGGTTGATTATTAGGAAAGCAATGTCTTCATAAGGGACCTAATCCACAGCAGTTGGTTTTTGAATGACAATCCTGGCAACTTACCACAGGGTAATTGCTCTGTTCACTGAACTTAATCAGTATTAAGCTTTCTGGGGAGTCACCTATACTTTATAAACATTGGGCAAACTTCCTGAAAACACCCACTTGACTGATGAAATTTCTGAAGTCACACAGCTGATTAAAGATGCAGATAGGAAGCCTGCAAAGGAGCAGATTCCTTCCTGTTGGTTCCAGTTTCAGCAAGATTTTAGAAAGTAGCTGACACAGGCATTTTTAAAAATGACTTTAAATGCTTCTGTGTGTGTCTAAGTCTCTGTGTAACTCGGAAAACCTGGCCCAAAGTAATTTTTGCCATTGCTCTGCTGATGGCAAACTTTCACAGCTGCTTAATTTTAGCTTGGCTATGGTAATTCACACAATGGGAGGACTGGGTCCAAAATTACCACAGTAATAAACATAGAACCGATCCACCCTTCTACAAAAGAGTCTGTCTCCTGCCTCCCTTCAGGACACATTCATTTCAAAAAGAGCTGTCAGCCTAGATCTTGTGAACAAACAGGGTGCTGTTGCAATATAGCCTAGAAAAGAGACATTAGGGACTGTGGCAAGGGCTGAATGGAAGATTGTCCAGTTGTTTATTATTTTAATTTTGTGTTATGCTTGACTGGCTGTTTTTAAATTACTATTATTACATATGATGATTAGCTGATAGATGTATACATTTGCATCCTATTTGGCAGGCTGTCAAGGATTCATAGTACACAGGATTTCATGTGGTGCAGCTTTGATCATGTAAGTTGGCATAAATCAGTCAACTGGTACATAAAAAAACTTGAAGGACCCAGGATAAACTCGCAGGTAACATTTATGTGAACAGAGGTGAGCATGTTAGAATCTGGCAGTATTTTGCTTTGTAGGATTTGGAAACAGTGCTGTAGGTTTATGCATATCTTTACCATTTCCTGCCAAATTGTTTCCACTCCTTCAAAGCAAGCAACTCCAATATTCACATGGACAGCGGGCAGCCCTTCTCTGTTTTCTTCTTTGCTATTTAAATGGAACTGCGCAAGTGCCTGATGCAAACTCTGTAGGGAACCATCTTCCACAGGCAACATCTGGCCACTTGGCTCGTTTTTTTTTGAGTATTTGGCAGCTTTTAATCAGCTCAGAGTCAGTCATCTGATTACAACACCAAAGCTAACGATTCCGAACATGCATCCAGGTCTGTGAATTTCCTTTGATATGTTACTGTTTAATTTTTATCTGTGCCAATGCAGAATCAGGCGGAAATTCTTTTAAGACTTCTAGGTAATAGTAGTGGTATGGGTTTTCTCAAGTAAAAGGATTATCAACAACAACCAGATGTTAATTATCTGCCTAAAACATTTGATTTACCCTCAGGTTGCTCATTTCCCCAATTACATCCAAATACACACAGGAAAAAGAAAAAGTAAAATAAAAATCCACCATTTTTCATTTGTTATCAGTTATTCTGGGCTTCAATCATCATCAGTCTCTGACTGAGCCAAACAGTGAAGTAAAAAAGCTACAGGGATCTACAGATGTTTTTTTTAAAAGCATGCTCGGTACTAAATAACTGAGCACCAAGTTCCTGTGTGATTTTCTGGCTGTGGGTCACAGAAAATAAAGAAGAAATGCTTTTCCTTTAGAAATTTCAAATGGATGAAGGAGAGATTCAAGACTGGCAGAATTTGGTCCTCATACATCATTAAAAACAGACTGAGGTGCATTCACTGACCAGCTGCAGCCCCAGGAAGGCTTCCCAGAGCCTGCATGGGAGCACTCATTCAGCCGCAGACATGCTTTTCTCAGGTAGCTGTCATACCCTGCCTGCGACTCTCGGAGACAGACACCAGACTGAAACCCCTGATGGTGGCCAGACCTATCTGCTGCACAAACCAGAGAACGTGCTTCCTTCAGGGTGCCTTGGAGCAGCTTGAAATCTGCTCTGTGGGGACTCTAGAGCATAGAAAGAATGGTTCTGCAACTCCTCCTGCCTTTTATAGGGGTATTTTTGCTGGACTGCCTGTTACCAGAAGGATGTGAGTACTCAGAGCACAGAGTGTTCCATTTTATGATCTCTCCTTGTACCTTGCTAACCCATCAAACACGAGTACCAGCTCCAGTTCTCTTCTATTCACATCTGTAGTGACTGGGTTGTATTTGAATATCTACCATGAAACAGGAATGCCCATAAAAGTTGTTAGTGTTGTTCTTGTTAGTTTGCTCTAAAGGTATCCACATTTGAGATTTGGACAAACTGAAACAAGCCGTGTCCATCAAGCAGAGGAACAGCACTGGAAATGACAAATTTCATTAATCCATTGCCAAACATATGGAGATGGTGCCTATCAAAGCACTAGATAAAATCCAGTGGAATTCTGGATCTAATGCATATTATTTGGAAAATCCTCCAATACAGATTCAACCTGAACTTCTCATTCCAGCAGAATCTGCACAGCAATTTGGGAGGCAAACTTTTGTTCTCATACTCTGTCCTCATTGGCAACTGGGTAAATTTTTTAACTTGCTGGGTATTCTGATGACCTTTAATGCATAATATGTAAGTTTTGAGTGTTGGAGGCAGTGTTAATTAAATCAAATTCATAGAACCATTGGCAGCTTCCAAATTTTGCATGTGAGATGTATGAGAAAGGAACTGAATTATCAAGGTATCCTCCTAATCTTCAGGAATTGGATCAGGAAGTTGTTATATCACGTTCATGAGCTCATGACTACAACTGTGTATATATCCAGGCACACATTTACTGAGAAGATGTCATTTACAGCTTGGAGAGGCGGTATTCTCTCCAGATATGCGAGAGTAGTGGTCAGTGACTGCCAGGACACTTATCCAAACTGCAGGTGCACCCACCTTTATGCTTAAGACTTCACCATATGAAACTTCTAAGATTAATTTTTTAGAGAAGCGCAGTTGCTAATTCATGCTGGATGCTGAATCAGAGAATTGCAGAAACCACTCTGGGCCTAAGAATTGATGCTGCAAGGAACAGAAAAGCAAACAAGAAATGTCTGCTGTTTTTACTATAAAACAGCTTGGTAGCTGCACTACTGTAGCACTGAACAAAGGCACTCAGCAATGCTCCTTCAACTGGAAGGACAGTTTGCATGATTTCTTCATATTGTATCTTGGAGATAACATTGATTTTTGTTTTTATTTATAGACATTGCTATGGTAATCACAAGTGGGTTAAAATGCACTTAATAAATGTGTTTAATTAACATTAATAAATCATACCTTTCAACACCATTTAACTTCCATTTGTGTTTTCTTGACATCAGGAGGCCGCCTCCCCATGCTCCCTAGAAGGCAAGACACATTATCTTAATGAGAACTCTGCTTTTCTCCATGATGACATCTGTGCTTTCAGATCAGTTTGGGGTCCTTTCCTTTTTCTTGCTGATATGGCATGTTCCAAAATGACCAGGCAAATGGGGCCTGACACATTAACTGTGCTAACAATTTTCTTCCAGTAGCTTGGAAGCAGCAGTTTATATCCCATAATCTGAGTGCCCACCCTTATCATCCTGCTGTTCCCTACCTTGCCAACCTCCTCTGACACACACACACTGGGCTTCCCCATGCTGCAATTACTGACTTGCAGAGCTGCCCTGAGGTGAGCTGCCTTTTCTCCTTTAGTGACGAAGTGATGATAACAAACCAGACTGGGATTTCAGCTGCTCTGGTGAGTTTTCGTCGTACTTCCAACCGCTACTGCTTACTGCTTGCCTCTTACTCATTTGCTTTTGCTCACACAGATCTGGGACAAACAGGCATTTCACATGACTCAAAGTACTTTAAAGTACATACAAATTCTTCTTTTGAATTGGGCTGATTTTGGCTGACACAGTAATCCAAGAGCAAGATGCTCAGCCCTATGGAAACTCAATGACCAAGCTGTTTTGGGGAGAGAATTCGCAAAAATGACACAAAAGCCATTAGAGGGCTGAAAGATGATCCTTCAGAAAGATTTATTGGCAAGAGCTCAGATGAAGCTAAGTAGCCAATCTGATAAATTTCCGTAGCATTTGCATTAACCTGTTCAGCAATTTGTGGTACTTTATTCCAGACAAATGTAGGCTTCTCTTCTGTATTTATTTTGCAGCTGCTGCAGAAATGGAGCCAGTGCTCAGTAGATTTGTTATGTATTTCTTGTACTAATAGCATTTAGAGGTAAAGCTGATGGCCAAATGTACTCAAACTTGGTCCTCTTCAGTGTCCCAGTTGCTTAAAAGTACTGCACAGCCACAGCTCCTAAAATGTCCCCCTGCCCTGAGCCTTTCTGAGTGGAAAGTCAGTGCTTGGATGTTAGGCTTAATTACAGAAACCAAATACAACTGATTTCGTACAAGCTAACTGTCCAAAATGCTAATTAATTAATTAATGCTAATACACCTTATAATCCAGCCCCCCTCATAAAATGATACTTACATCCACATGCATCCAGATTTTGTACTTCTTGCAGATGTCTGCAATAGCTATGAGAGGATCAAATGCCCCATACACTGTTGTCCCAGCTGTGGCACTCACCAGAAAAGGCACAAATCCCTGCAAGAAAGCACAGAGGCATTTGACAAGGTCAGAGTGCTGCACCCTCCTCAGCTTGCAGCACGCCCAACTCCTGTGTGGTGCCTCCACGGTGAGCCCACAAGCGGCACCGAGAGGACATCCCTGCTACAATTACGCTGGTCTACTCTTACTTCAGCTGCTAGTGGTACTATAATTTCTACCTTAAGGTGGCAGCAAACCTCCAAACCAGCATCCTTCATTTATTAGGATGCATGAGACAGATAAGGGCTTAGAACAATTCTGCTCCACACCACCTGCCTGAAACAAACAGGTCTGCTCTTCATGACGTTGCGTAAAACAAACCTCACCCAAGCACCACAGTGCAAGAAGTATCTTTGATGGACCGTGTGCTGGGCTGCATTATTAGCTATCCCAGCGAGTGCCTGAACATATGGTGGTCCAGTCCTGTCAGTGGGAGCACCATGTCTGGGGGAAGCGCGCAGGGGAGGTGTGGAGCTCACCTCTAGCTCCGTTCCTTGTGCAGAGGCAGGAGACAGCTCTTTTTGAAGAGAAGACAGCAATCTCTGTAAGGGCCAGGGACCATCTCTTGCATTCCCCCTGCTAAAGCCTGTGTCTCACAGAGGAGCACTCCCTGTTTTTGCACTATGATGTCTTCGGTCTGCCATTTTTGTATCAGTGTTTCATTCCAAATCCATTTGTACTTATATTGATTTCATAAACAGTACTCTGAGCAGCAAAGGTGTTTAGACTAGGGTTTAAACTATCAAAAAAGTCTAAACTTCCTTCTGTGACTGTCAGCAGGTTTGAGTGGCACTCATGTCATTTTGCCTTATTTTTTATCTACTGTATTGCCTTTCTTTGAAAAAGTGAGCTTTTAATGATGATTTGTGTTATTAATTTGGTAAGTCTATGAGCAATATTTTTCATGTGTTAAAATATATACAAATTCCTCAAATGATTACTCTGATCTTGTCAATAGAGTAGCTATAGAGCAGCTGAGTAACTGTGTCACAGGCTAATATAAAAAAGGAAGATGTTATGCAGAACAACATATTTAAATAAAGCCAAATAGCTCATGGAGATTATAAAGTAGCTCTAAACCTATTTTCTCAGCAATGCTTGCCCCACTAATTGCCAGTCTATGTTAATGGACAAGCCGGTGTTATTTTACCAGGGAAAATAAAACAACTAGCTGTATCATTCATGCTTGGGTTTTTTTTGTTTGATTTTTTTCTTTTTTTTTAAGCAGAAAAGCCAGTAAACTTACCTTCTGTTTGGCTTCAAGAATTCTTCTTTCAAGGTCTGATGGGATCATTTTCCCTCTGGAGCAAGAGAGAGTTGTGTTAATAATTTGATCTTGAAATCAGCTCTTGCTGTTACTTCTTTGCTTAATAGGAAGCCCAGATAGAAACAAAGTGACTTTTTTGCCCAAGGGTTATATATCTTTGAAGAGCACAGAAAGACTCTGCCCATTAGTTTGAGTTTCTACCCTAATTATTTTGTTAACTAATTTGCATCAATATGGTGATGGTAACTGAGAGAAGTTATCTTGTGGCCACCCCCATTAAAGACTGATGCTACTCCATGGAACCTCCTGCTCCTGAAACTACAGTCCTATGAATATGCTCCAGGCTCCTAAGGAGAGGCTCAGCCCACTGTCCCAGGAAGCTTACTGGGTGCCAAATCCCATGGTGCCCTTCCAGTAGGCACAGAAAGTGCCAGCTGAGCTGCATGGCCTTGAGCAGAGCAACTCAGCTCTGGTGTAAGCAGTCACCTCTGTGTTTCCATCCCGGGGATGAACTTGTTTCAGGCAACTCTTCCACAGTTTGGTGCATTACATCTTCGCATTTGCTTGCACCAGGATAGGAGAAGAAGCCACCAGTACAGATGCATTAAATGCACTGTCAGGCCCTTTATATTGACTGTATTTGCAACACCTTTAGTATGAACCATTTACCTGAGATTCAGACTCAGTGGTATAAGGCTTGAAGGCTAATTTATGAACTCCTGTAAATGGATTAGGCGCAAGATAGAACAGTGCTGATACTGAATATTGAAGTTAATATTTTCTTTGCTTTAGCCACAAGCAAGACTATGTAAGAAGAGAGTATGCATAATGGCAATACAAACATTACAGCTGCTCACATTAGGGGAATAATGTCTTCACTGGTTTGGATGTTGTCCATTTAGATTAACACTACCTTTTTTAAGACTTGTTCAGATTTTTTTGTTCACTAAGCATTGATATCCTATTGCTATAAAAAAAGAGCAATCTGTACTAAAACTCGAAATAGTTTCAGGGAAAGTAATAAAACCATTAGTTTTCATTTTGATTTTGTATAAAAGAACCCTGAAGTGTTTTCATGACATTTGGATGGATGGACATTAAAAAAAAAAGAAAAAAAAATTCTTGTAAGAAGATACCACTAGTTTTTCTAAGTGTTCATCCTTACACAGCTCACAGTAAGGCAGTACTATTTCGGTAGAAATAATAGGTTTGTACTTTTGAGTTTTCTGCAAAATCTGGTCTGCATTTCACTTATTCAAAATACTGAAAGAATAACTGAAAACATTCTGAAAATATAATAGACTTTTAGAGAAGCTCTGAAAACCTAAAAATCCCTACTTCTTCTTGCAGAAGTTCAAGGAAGTTCTAAAGAGTATTCAACTCACTGGGAGTTTCCGCCAGTTAAGTTACATGCACATGTTCAGAGAAAAGCAGTAGTTGTCTTATCAACAAAACCTGTTTCTGGCATCATTAGAGGAATAAAAAAAAACAAACAAAACCCAAATCAAACAAACAAAAAACCCCCACAAAACACAAACAAAAAAACCATGAAACAAAACACCAACAAAAACCCCACAAAAAAAACAAAACCAACCAACCAAAACAAAACCAAAACCAAAAAACCCCAACAAAACCAAAAACCCACCAAATCCCATGCCAAAAGAAGGCAGCGGGTTCCTCCTCCAAACACAGATGTTGGTCTTTTAGCAGTTTCTAATTGATTGAGCTTGTGCATAAAAAAACAGGGAGGTGGGCAGATCCCTCCATTGCCCAGATTTTTACCAAGATAAGTGATTATCCAGCCCCTGGTCACACTGAGTATGTGCAGGAATTCATAGTCAGAAGAGTACGATGTCCAATCAGCATCAAGCTTTATCAAGGAGCAAGCAGTAGGTTGGCTTTGAGTATAGTCCAAGCACATGCTGCAACACACAACACCCTCCGGCTCCAAATCTAGCAAGCTAGCCAACAGCATTGCTTACTTTTGCACAGCATTTTCATGTGCTATCACCTGAGCTCAGATGACCTGCAATGCTTAAAATACACTGCAAAATAATAGGTTTGTCCTTTCACAAATCTTACCCAGACAATGTGGCAGGGAGTTGCATGAAATGTGCTAGATGGCAAATGTCTAGAGGCAGGAGGGCTCCTGGGTGAGGCAGAAGAGATTCAGAAACAAAAGGCTGCTGAGTGCAGAATGAGTGTTGGTGTCAAGGCATTCTGTTACCCACATGTGCACACAGTCTTCACTGCTGCCACATCAGACTGAAGTGTTTTGACCCTTCCCAGCTTTCCAGTATCTGAAGGGGGCCTACAAGGATGCTGGAGAGGGACTCTTTGTCAGGGACTGTAGCGACAGAACAAGGGGTAATGGGTTCAAAGTGAAACAGGAAGTTTAGGTTAGATAAAAGGAAGAAGTTCTTTACTGTGAGGGTGGTGAGGCACTGGAACAGGTTGCCCAGAGAAGTGGTAAATGCTCCATCCCTGGAGGTGTTCAAGTCCAGGCTGGATGTGGCCTTGAGCAACCTGGTCTAGTGGGAGGTGTCCCTGTGCATGGCAGCAGGGTTGGAACTAGATGACCTTAAGGTCCTTTCCAACAAAAACCATTCTGTGATTCTATGATTCTATGACCCCAAAGCTGCAGCTAATGCACTACTGCTACCAGTATGTCTACATGGTAGCAAAAGAGGCAACAGAAATGTATGGTTGTCCAGTCTGGGGTATGAGCCAGAACATGATTTTCTGCACATTTTTCTGGCTTAAAATTCATCACACATTTACACTATGCAGCAAAAACAGGCAAATTTTGTGGGTGCAGGTCAGGATGAGGAAGACCCAACAGGAAGTATTCCTGGTTGTGCTAGAAATATCAAAAGGATGTCATGGTACTCCTTCACTCTCCCACAAGTCTACATCTTCATGGAGGGTTGTCTCCATCACACCAGCTCAGTATCCTGTGCTAACAGCCTGCTTTGTCCTGGTGACATCTGTTGGGATTTTGTGAGACATGAAGTAATCCTGCTGTTTACTTCAGGGTGGGCAGGGTAAGCGTTGTGGTCTCCAAAGAAAATTATCACACTGAATTTGCACAGGAAGAAAAGGAAGATACCACTTCATTGATCCATGTCTGTCTTTAGTGAATAGAAACAATTGGATGTTTATTTTGATGTGTGTTGGTTGTGTTCATGATGTCATTAATTCTTCTTCACGGTGTGCTTAGTCTTTTGTTAATAAATAAGTCAATATGCAGGTGCTGTGCTTAGCACTGTGAATTGCTTAATTGGTGCTCTTCTTTTAATGTGGGAGCAGAATATTTTGATAGCAGTAAAATCTTCCATAATTCAGTACCATATAACAGTGATATTTGGGATTCACTGTAAGAGCATTTTGTATTAAAAAGATTCTCAGTAGAATCAATAAAGAGTCATTCTATTAATTTTTGTCACATAGAAAGTTTTTCCCTAAAACTGAAAATTTTCATTATAAGATGTTGATTTTGTTAATATATCCTTGTTTTCTCAAAATGGGTTTTCACAGTGAATCAAACCTTTTTAGTGGGTGAGTTAAGCAAGAAGTTATCTACCACTGATTTTGTAGAGCCTGTGGGACCTGTAGGTTAGGTGCCTGCTGCACTACTCGTTTCCATGGGCCATCATCCTTGGTCACAATGCTGCCAAGACCCTTCTTTCTACATCCCATCACAAGGGTGTCTCCTTCAAGGGCAATGCAGAAAATGTTGTCCAGCTGAGTAAGATGGTGGGGGCATGAATTAATAGAATTACATTTGCCCCTCAATATTTCACTCCTATAAAAGGCCCACTTCAACTCATTTTAATGGCTCAAAATGTGAGAGTCTCTAAACACTCTATTTTGACCAAAACATGGTTTTTCCTGGTTTCTTAGCTGAACACGTAAGGAATGATTGCTAGTTTGGCATTTTGTGTCATTTCAGAATGAAAGAAAAAGAAGTATCAGAAATCCCTGAGGAAGGCAACTTTTTTGATGAGATCCAAAACCTGACTTGTAAAGAAGCTACTGGCAGAGCCAGTTCCTCAAGTGGGGTTGGTCAGTGTAAGGCTGGTGAAGATGACAGTTCTACAATGAATTATACCAACTGCTGACCGCATCCTATACGCTTTCTTTGAGCTGAGTACCTGATGATCCTCTTCCAATAAAAAGAGATATATCTGGCATCCCCACTTACCTTTCATCACATCTAATCAAAATCACACTATCTGTACCAATACCCAAGGCTGCAGCTCCTTTCTTCACAGAAAAGTGACTCTGAAAAAGAACATTTTTTATTATGTATTATTTTTACTATTATTTCCTAATGTCTAGTTTAATATGAAACACTACACTCTTGCAAGCCCTTTAGCAACTAGCCCCACACAGGCAGTAATTCTATTCATATTCATTTTGAAAACTATCACTGTAATTTGAGGCTTCATACCAGGTCACTACCATCAATTAGAGAAACAGCAATCACTCTATAATCTGGATTTACTCCTGGAATATTAAATCCATAACTGTGACTGATAATGGACCCAAATTCTGTCCTTGATGCATACCTGCAGCTTCTATTGCTTGTACAGATTCAGTTATGACCTTGGTTTACTGAAACAAAAAATGTGACATCCAGAGTGATGTGCTTCTGCTGTGTAACTTCTGGCCAAATACTACACTGAGAGAAATTAAGATAGGAAGCCTAATTGTGATCTCATGCCAGTGAAACCTAGTAAAACTCCAATTAATAAACAGAGCTACAGCAGCTTTAAGCCAGAACGGGGCTATTAGTAAGACTATTAGTTAATCTGTATGTATAAAATAAAATGTGGACGTTATATACTGGAATACAAGTCAGCCTAATTTTCTCTAGCTCATAGGACTTAACTCCTGAGCCAGTCCTGGTTTGTAATTTTAAATCCTAGTGATTATAATAACGAAATAGTTTTAGATCAAATTATACCTCCAAGAATCTGATTTTGTATTAACTTTTTCCCAGTTGTAACAATATTGTCCGAAGTAATTTTGACTACAGATTATGAAACTTAAAAAAAAAGGCAATTCTTTCTGTATGCTATAGTACCATTATCTTAGGATGTAGCACTATTAAAAAGATCACAGAAAAAAAATCTAACAGGGCTTTTTAGGTGTCCATGACATTAAAGAAGAAAGGAAGACATATACTCTGCAGAAGACCACAAAGCAGAGAAGCAACCACTACTGCTTTGCCAAAGGGGTATTTGGCTTCAACGGTAATGTGAGCAGCAGAGAGCTGTAGAGAGAGACGGACATAATGGTTGCACGTCTGCTTCACCTTAAGGCTGTGAAGTCAGTGGGATTTCACTGCATGCTAAAGGGCTCTGTACATAATGAACACTTGGAGAAATGAAAATCAATTCTAAACCAACTCGATGAGAGAGGAAGAAGTCTCTTCCCAGCCTTACGGGTGTCCCTGAGCCCCATGATGCAGAGGTGCAGATTTATGAGAGCAGGGAGGAGAAGAGGCCATGAGAAGACTACTGGCAGGAGGTTTATAAAAAATTCTCAAGTTTAGTAAGATACTTTTGAACTTTGCAAAAACCAAAGAAAAGCTAGAATATTGCCACCATAGGGACAGTTCACTGATACATTGTGTGAAGCTGAAACTGGATTTCTATTCTTAAAAAAAAAGTTTTATTTGTGTATTACACAAACTGATGTGCACATACTACATAGTGTAATATATAAATACAGATAGAGATGTAGGAGTGAAGAGTCACAGATACATTTCATTGGGTTTTGAGTCAATGACATTACACTGATAATTTTGCTTCTTATTCCATACTAGTTAAAATAGATTCACTATCGTAATTTGTTTTTCTAATAGAAAATAGAACTATTTAAAGTGCCTTAAGAAAAAAGAAAACACAGATTTGAGTAGTTTACTATGAGAAAGAAAATTAAGCCCATGTGCTCAAAGACATCATCCACTGGAATATGGCCAGGCTCAGCTGCCTCATTGAGAAGTCTCATGGCACTGCTAAAGCAGCACTGGGGGAAAAAAAATTAATGTAGTGCTGATAGCTTGGCTGCCTGGAGGCTTTTTACAGACTGAAGGGAATACAGCAGTCAGGAACTAAAACAGGTTTAGGGATAAATTGGGAAGAAATATAGAAATCTGTGCACAGAAGGGCAAATGCAATTACAATTTCTAAACAAACTTTGAACATGATATTGTCAATCTGTATATACAGTCACAAACATATGACTGCTGTTCTGTTTTTTATGTCTTAAGTTAACATCAGAGGAATTAGTCCAATTGCCTGAGAGGCTCTAAAGAGCTAGGCTGAAAGTGAAAATGGAAAAGATATAGTTTGAAGAGCAAAGAAAACTTTGCTCATGATAATGAATGTTAAAGTTTAGATTAATATTCCTGGGACGGTGCTGGAAATCTGGTTGCCTGTGTAATATAAAGGTAAACATAGAAAAATATAAAGGTCAAAGAGAAGGAAAGGTTTGCACAAATAAGCCTGATTAGGCTGAACTAATGAGGAAAGAGGACATTAATCGTGATCCCTTTGGGAATACGGGGCTACAGACTGTTCAGTGACACAAAGAAGTGGGCTTGAACATAATTTTTCACAACATAGCCATGTAGGAGTTATGCAGATCTAAAGTCTTCAGGTGGGAAAACCAGGGTCAAAGAGGGAGGATGGGTCAGACTGCCTGATGCTGGTCCTGAAGGAAAAACCAGCCTAGGAGAAGCTGGCAAGTCCAGGGTTTCACCACTGTCCTATGATTGTCAGAGACAGGAGGACACGAGGTGGGAACAGGCTGTCACAGCATCTTTCTCCCTCCCTCCCTTCATGCACTGCAAAAGGGTGCATGGAAGGCTACAAATACACCCCCATTGGAGCGGGACCTCAGTTTTTCTCTGAAAAGAAATGTGGTTAAAGTTCAGTGGTTCTCAGAAAATCCTCAGAAGGAGAATGTATAAAGAATTAGCCAATATTAGTGACAAAAGCATATTAGTGATCAAGAAAATAAACTGGTGATTTTGAGCCATTGGAATTTGCCCTTTGTCTAATATTTCAAATGCTGTTAAGAATAGGTCTGCTTGCCTGATAGTAATTTGTTTCGTAGTTAGATTTGTAAGTAAAAACACGGGGGATTTTTACTTATAAAACACAGTGTAAATTTATTACAGGTGCAATAATGAATAGGCCTATTGGAAAAAGGAGGAACTAGAATAATTAAAAATGTTATGATGAAAATATTGAGTATTTATCTTAAATGAACAATGCTTCAATACACAGATGTTTCTATTTTTGTAGCTTGCTAAATTACTTGCTAATAACCTGGCATGGTTGAAGCTGTCAGGAAGAACCATCCTAATTCCATGAGCTGGGGTTTCAGATTGCTGTTTCTCCTTGCTCACATAAATCCGGAGTGGCACAAGCTTTGTGGAGGGCTTATGAGGGGTAGTAAGTTCCCAAACGCTGATCAAGCTGAGCCATCCAGCAGCTGAATCCTCTGGCTGGCAGCCTGGTGCCTGGCAGACCTGGAACCCCAGGCTCACCCCATCAGCAAAGGAGGTGAACACACTTTCAGATCCACCTCTCCTAGACTTTAAACAATGTGGGATCCCTGGATGTGTAGGCTGGGCTCCTTCCATCTTAATTTTAACCATCTAAACGTGTTGCTGGTCTAGGCTTGCTGTCTGGGCTCCTGCAACAGTGGGGAAGAAAAACCACCTGCAGAAGGCACCTCATTCCTAAGGTTTTGGCACCCATTTTAAAGTAGGGTGAGGTGTCTTCTGCAGATCTCACTCTCTTTTTGTCAGCTACAAAAAGTGTATGAACTAATTCAGATTAAATGTTTACACTTCAGGTGATTAAAGTGACGTGGCATTAGTCCTGTCTTTAACATGTAATTGTAAGCTATAGCTTTTCCTTCAATTATCTACAAAAAGAGTAGACTGTGTCCCATCACAGTTTTAAATACATTGCAATGACATATGTTTCCTATTGTTTCCTGTAGCTACTGCTATTCAGTTTTCAAAGCTATTGGCTAATGTCAGGAGAGAAATTAATGTATTAGTGTTTCTGCACAACACACTAATACTTCACATTTTTTAAATGTATGACTTCATCCTGCTTTTCTAACACACTTGTTTTTTACAGTAAGGGTAATTTTACATTATCTGTGGATAAGAAATGTTGCACTGAGTTCAGGAGGATCCTGTAGCAGTGTAAAAGTCACAAGTTGACTCCTATCCCAAATGACTCTTTTGTGATAGGCTGCCCTAAAGCACTGTTTTTCTGGATAATGGTTTTAGATTGATTTGAATGGTGCTATCTGAATTAAGTTGCTCTTCAAATAAGACCAAATTTTCACTGTTTCCCCCTTGCTTCAAATACCAACAAAAAATACTTTTCTAGTTGTTATGCACTGGGTAATTCAAAGAAAGAATGCGCGTATCCATGAGTTTGATTCTTAGTTTCCTTAGGTGGAAACAAAACTACTTCCTACTTGCTCTGTATGCTCCAAAATATAACTTATACCTTCATCATTCATGCTACCAAATGGAAAACATGATCTCCAGGCTTCTCAAATCCTTCCCTGGAAGCCCAGCCACACAGGTCTTGCCTCCGGCTGCTTCTTTCATGTGGCAGTCCTGCAAACGCCCTCCTAAGCTGCCAGCCAGAGGGCAATGCTACCTGCCATGGAAGCAGTGGGACTAAAGATCAGCTTTTCATTCTATGCAGAAACCTACCTAAAATCTCCCGTGGGCTGTGTGAAATTGAGATCTATTGAGATGTTTGATTTGAGACAGAAGTTACTTCTTAATTTCCTTCTGCCTCAAATGCCAAGAACTTCCACACTAGGTTTCAGAGACTGTTAAGACAAAAACTTTTCCAAAGCCACTCTTCTCCCACAGCTATCAGTGTAGTTTGCTGTATTGCCTGTAAGTAATGGGGCTTATCCACAAGGGAAAATCAGCATACACAAAGCTGAAGCAGTGATTTATTGCTAACTGTCTCGTTTGATCTAGTTGCTGTGTAGATGCTGCGTCCACCATTGCTGTGAAGGTGCTCCCCTACCACCACAGACAATCCACCTCACACAGGCGCTCCCCACACTACCTGAGATGAGATCCCTCTGAGTATGTGTGGCTATATAGAATGTGACCTTATACCTGAGCAGCCAACAGCACCTCCCTTCACATGGATTCCAGAGCTGCACTCCCAGTGAAGCCTCAGGCATGAGTTAGGTCACCCCAAGAGCAGTGCAAAGCGGATGCCAGAAGCAGACAGAGCTTCTCTGTGTCCCCCTGGTTCCATAAGTGCATGAAGAGGTCCCTTATTGTCAGATCAGACCCAATCACCTGCCAGTTCTTATTCTGCATTTTCTTTTCCAGGACTACAACAGGAGTTATATTGCTGTTTCTTTGGTGAGCACCTGACCACGCATTCTTCACTGGGGGAGTGCTAGAGGGGTGGGAAATGAGGAAATCTGGACAACATAAGCACTACTGTAAGTCTTGCTGAGTTGGAGAACAGAGGAGATGGAGAAATTTATATGCCTTTCCAATTATGCCCAACTTTTTTCTTATTCTCTGAACTGTGGATTGAGTCTGTACAGCCCCTAATTAAATATCAAATCCATGGAAAAACTGGAATTTTCTTAAGCTATATTTATACTACAAATAAAAAGGCCAAAGGCTGATGTGCAACCCGACTTGTTCTCTACAGCTGAACTTTCCTTCTCTACACCCATTTCCTCATCAATGTAAGATGACTGTCCTTTTTGCCTGCTAGGGGTTATCCCTGCCCCATACTGTTCCCAGCTACTGTTGGATTACTGTTGTTTAAGAGTGCTAGTTGGCCAGGTCAGAATCACAAGAGGGAATGGCTTAAAATTCAGCAGGACTTAAGTTATAGACAAATGGATCAATAAAAATATTCTGAGAAGGCAATTCTCCCTTTCAGCCACTTTCTCCACACTGATAAAGGGATGTGCTCAGCTGAACACTCACAACAACCTAAAGCTAATGTGCTGGGACACAGGAGGAGGCCTTCATCTTACAGTTTTCACTGTGTTTGAAATGACAGACAAAAATAGTTTTTTATGACTGACATCCATCACTTTTACCACTCTGAGTCAAGGTCTCTTCTATCATACGCAGTCCAGAACAGCTTCCCTGAAGGACATCACTTTGCTCCTGCACTGGTGCAGATCAAAGAAGTGCACTGATGATGCACTAAAGAGGACTGAATTATGTCCTGAGCACAAGTGCATCTCAGTGAAATTATACCTGGGCCAAGACCAACCCAAGCAGTTATGGCGTATTTCACTGTCACTGGTGAAACAAAACCAAACAGAATCAGAGCGACAGGTAAATCACGGTCATACTGAACAGATCAGGGAAGATCCGCTTGCTGGGAGTGTACAGAGCTGGAATAGTCACATAACCTGGTTTAGGTGCCTAATGTAGGTTGAGTATATTAGGAGGCTGATCTCTCTGTGTGGTAAATGCACAGAAGTAGGTGAACACCTCCCCACCCCACACCCTCACCTCCCCGAAGGTGGTCTAGAACATCTAAATTAAGGAATATTTAGGCTCCTAATTTGGATGCTCCGCGTTTCTCTCCAGAGATGCCTCTCTTCACTGGTCATGCAGAGAATGAGCCTCCTAATTTAGGAGCATGATGTGCTCCTAAATTAGGAAGGGAATTACTTAGGAGCTGTGAATTACTCTTCCTTTCCCTTCTCCCCCACTAGCAGCTGAACCTATCATGGTATCAGACTGAGGCCAGATTCTGATTACAGTAATACTGGCGGTAATTGTGGCATAACTTAATTCATTTATAATAATGGAAGCTCTAGACTGGTAGAAATGAAAATAAAGTCTGGTCTGGTAGAAATGAAAATAAAGTCTGATCTGTGATGCTGAAACTCTTATCTGAGGCTTGCTGATACCAAATCTTTGCTTTTGTCTGAAAATTTTGAGAGCAAAATCTTCAAGTTTCAAAACAGATACAATAGCTTTAAGCTTTGTTTACTATCATGTCACATGTGCAAAGCAAATGGGAAATGATAGTATCCCACTTACAGTCTGCTTGTTCCATGGCTATCGTCTTACAAGGGCATGCAACTGTGACAGACAGAAACCAAAATCAGGCTGGGGAGTCTAAACTTCACATAGATTGTCAGCATGGTGTGATAAATGAGACAAATGACATTCTCTTATCTTAGTGTCTATTCAGGTTCTACACTACATTTCCTACCTAAAATGGGACTGTACTTCTAGGCCTCTGCAATTCCTGTGAAACAGCCTCTGCTGTTTTGAGGGTGAAATCCTGACCCTATATCCTCTGGGCAATTAAGTGTTAAAGGGTTCTGTCTTCACATTGTGTGGTTTCTTAACTTCCCTAGAAGATGTGCCATTACATACTTTATAAAAAACTTAATAGAAGAAAGGACAAACCTGCAATTTCAAGATATTTCTAAAATTTAACAATTTCAGATGCTGTTCTATGGATTTTCCAGTATATTTGATTTTGGAATGTTTAATTTGCTAAGGGAACTGCTTCTTCCCTGGCATGAAAACACAACTATTAAAGCTCATTTCATTATTTTGAGACTGATAGCACAATTTGGTTCATTGTTTAACATTCCATCACTGTGAACACAATGACATTCTCTAATGATTAATAGGATTTGTTATTTTAAATAATCATTCTGAACCTTATTTGCAAGACTTATTAGGTCTGTAACTTCCATATGAATAATGCATCTGTAGCTGTACAGCCAGCTTTGGAGAGCTGCTACTCATTTGTAGAATACCCTTCTCTTTCACTGCTTTGGGGACAACTGTTCTGCAACACGGTGCCCGGAGTTGTGTTATTATATCTCATCCTAATGCCAGAAAAGGCATCCTCAAAGGGATTTCCTTTTAGATATTTCTGATTTTAGACTTCTTGGGACTCTTTGCTCTTCATACTTGCACAGAATGGAAACAGGTTCTCAGATAAGTCAAAGAAGGCAGCCAGGAGGATGTTACCTCACAGGGACAATATCCTGCTGAGCCCCAGCCATGGAAGCGTCCTTTCTGGCTGAGCCCTTACAGCTAGAGAGAAATTTTGAAAGGGACCATGAAGCCTGAAGAGGGCTCACTGCCTGTCTTGGGTATAACCCTTCCTCTTCCCCTTCCCCCTGCACCTGCATTCTCCACTATAAGATGCAAGGATTTTTAAATGGCCATAAAGCCAAAATAAACTCCCCAGTAAGTATGACTTCTGTATGGCTGTTCAAAGAGCAAAATACTTTGTGCCTCTCCCATATCTGACCACTCCGGTATCTCTTTTGCCCACCTCCCCTTTCTGCTTCCACTGCCAGCTCCCATCAATGCCTGTGCTGAAGCTTTTGCTCACAGGCAGAAATCCACATCAGAGTCTAGTTCCCCACTGTACACCACAGCTGCTCTGCTGTACACACACAGAGCATTTCTGTACCACTCTCTTCATGTATGTTATCATCCTCTCATTAAATAACACCAGGAGTGGTTTCAGCTAGAAACATTTTGACTCAAAGCGATTTTCTGTTCCCCCAGAGTGACCTGAATAAAAGACATTCCTTGCAAAAAATTGCTGAAGCCTGATGATGAGCTCTCTTCCTCTAATGTGGTCCTTACCATTCACATTGATATTTATACAGGCACAAGTGAGAGCAAAATAATGGCAGTGGTTTGTTCAGACACAGATAACAGCACAGCTCATCCCTCTACATACCAAAAAGCCAGCCCCTTCCATTTTTCTATTCCCAGTGAAGGAACAATAGAAATGAGGACAGTTGGCTACAAATTCCCATTCAGTTATTCATCAAAAATTCATACAAGCAGATGCAACAGATAGGAAAAAAACAGAAACACATACATGTTCTGATGTGAAGGCAACCAGTCTGGGAATAGCTGCCATTCCTTTTTCTTTAACTTCTGGGAACATCTTGAAACGTGCAATCAACATAGCATACATGTTAGATATGGCACCACCTGGAGTCCACAGTAATATACTGTTACTTTTTCTATGCATTGTAATATCATTGCAGAACAAACGACAAGTCTTGCTACAGATTTTCTAACTCTAATGCCACATGGCAGAAACATGGGTTCTTCTTCCTGATGCCCCTCACAGCTGGGTTGCACAATAACAGAATCTACTACTCCCAAACAGCAATTTAGGCAAAAAAAAACTACTGCAAAAAGGTGACTGGGGCTTCCTTTTATCCTCATTTTTTCTGCCCTTTCTCTTTCAGTCCCCAATCTTATATTGTCATATACCATCAACACATAGTCCCCACTCTGTTCCACCTCCCAAGCAGACACCTTACAAGGCAACTTCCTCAGGGGCTTTGAAGTGAAACCTAGTCTGTGCCTTCCCCTCCCAAATCAGGGTGGCGTTTCATGTCCCGGCTCTGAGGAAACCCACACAGTGAGTCCCAATAGACACTATCTTTTTGGATAACTGGAGTTTGGGGAGGGAAGAAAAAAGGTAAAGGGTCATTCTAACACATACTTTCCTTCTTATTTGTCCTCTGATGGGAGCAAGGAAAAAAAGCTATATGTCCCTAACATCAACCGTAAAATCTCTGGCATACATTCAATTAAAATACCTATTTTAAGATGGATACTTTGCCCACTTCAAGATGGTTATTGGATGACAGCTCTGCAGTACTTTGTTCCCTTATTTCAATTGTCAATGCGTAAATTAGAAACAAGCACTTTCCTTTTCCTTTAAAAGACTTTTACAAACTGAATCTTTGTGCCCACAGTGGAACAATGTTTGGTTATACGTTAATGCTGCATGAGCACTATGGGAATATAATGCAGAACCTGAGGCAGACTCTGAGAACTTTTATGTATGTATGCACACAAACACACTCTCGCACATACACACACATAAAATCCACCAGTTTTATCCTGCATATATACTATATATATATATACAGACTGATTATATATTGATATGTATATTTATATAAAGTAAAAGTGTACACTGATCATGGTTTTAGGGTTTTAAATGAACAGGTCAGAGTGCAGCTGAGGTAGAGTTCAACTAACCCAACTTTTAACTATCTAAAAATGGAGTGAAGAGCACAAGACATGCACTTCCAAAAGACAGCTCAGCTCATCCTAAGGTAGCCGTTTGTGGTAAGTGGGATGACTTGCCCTGCAGACATATACACCCCTCTCCCTTGAATATATGGCAGCAGCTGTAACCAGCCTGGGTAGACACCCAGCGCTTGGATAGCCAAGTGAGATAAGAAGAGATAATCGACCCTTTAAGCAGATCAGCGTAGCTCTGGTGAAAGCAGCGACATTACACAAAGTTACACCAGCAGGTATATGTGCTGGGAAATTTAACACTGTTTTGATTTTTGTAAGATTTGTATTTATCCCACTGGAGATTTATATACTGTTCCATAGCCCAGAGAAACCATGTCCTTTGTTTCTAATCAGTGTCCTAGCTCCGCTCTTGTAGTGAGGCTACCTCTGCTCTGGGCTTTCCCTGACCCCCCTGGTCCTCCTGTGAATCCAAGGGAAAATGCCATAAAGGGATGGCATCGCTGGCACGGGGGTCAGTACAAATCAGGCTTTTTCTTCCCCTTTCAACTATCCTGAGAGGTATGAACATATTCTTACACTTCTTTTCACAAATGACAAAAGAAGAAATGGAGAGATTAAGAGGAAATGCTTAGGTATCTGTCCCAAAAAAATGCAGATGTCATGTAACCGCTGCTGTTGATGACTTAAGTGACTGAACTAAGGTGACCAAGTTGAAGAAATCTGGCCTAACTTGTCCAAAGTCATTGGCTCAGTGTCAAAAGAATCGAGACTGAAATGTTAAGGTTCCCCAGTAATGGGCTTTCCTATTAGTATTTATTACCTTGCCATTTAACCTTAAGCATATTAATAAGCCTGCATTCTGCCTTTAATTTTGTAGCTGTGTTTACACCCACAGTTAATTACAGGCAACAAAACACACCTACAGAATCTGGAGAACCTAATCAGGCCTTTGAGCTTTGCATGTATTGATACTGTATATTTCATTCCCGAGAATGCAGAGAGTGAGAATCTTTTCAACAGTAAGGTCTTCAGCTGAAGCCGTGACAGCTTGAAATAAGAAGACAGCATAGAGATGATTTTGATTATTGCCTAAAACAGCAGAACCTGAACACTGGGTGCTGCTGAAGAGTGAGTTAGAAATACGCACATAGCACAAACCAGACATTGCAGAGAAAGAAAGGATGAGAGGGGGCAGCACTGCAAACGCCAGCACAGCCACACACACCTGCCAGAAAGCCCAACCCCAGGCAGGTTTCAGCTAGGTGAAGTGAGCTCCCATATCTGACACACTAACGACAACCTGGTCCCCCCCTGTCAGGCAGGGACGTCATGCAGACCTGGGATGGATGGCAGTTCCTCCTGAGGCATGTATCTTCCCTGACTCACACTATCCTGAGCACAGCTTGCCACACTTGGGCAGATCTGGTGCATGGACTGAGCCTCTCTCCCTCCCACCTGCCACCCCAGCTCTGGCTGAGCAGCATTGCTACTGCTCTGCTCTTTCCTCTCAGGTCCCTGACAAACCTGGCTGGGCTATTAGCAGCCCAAGCCTGCAAGGCAAGGAACTTGCAAGTTCCTTACAATTACAGCAAGACCAGCTGCACTGAGTCAGGCCAGGCACTACACAGTAACCAACCACTGTCCAGAGCCTTTGGCTTAGGTCCTGGGCTCGTGATACATGTTTAGATGCCGCTCTGTGTAATGGAGGCCACAGGAGCGAAGTAAAAGCTGTCAGAGCTTTTGCTCTCAGTGCTTTTTAAATAAGGACCCAACAAAAAGTGTAAATTCTTCTCATCCTTTTCTCCAGCTCTCTGCAAAGGCCCATGAAAAAACTCGTGCACCACTACCCACATGTGCATTCACATGTGAAAAGCTGAAGATGAGCTTTGCCTGATCCTCTGCGTAGCATAAACATTACCCTTCACATCTTTGGAGAGCTAAACATACTAGGTTGTTATCAGTGAGGCTTTTCCTTTGCTCAAGAGTCCAAACACTTTCACTCTCCATTAGGTCAATGAACTTTCTCTCCAGAAGGGCTCCCTTCCCATCAGCTATCAGTCTGTTATCTTTTGACAAGCCAACATTCTATGCCCAGTGTCAATTTTTTTAAATGTTTTGCAATTTGGTGAGATAGATAGGCCAAAATTTTTAGCAATGAAATTCCAGAATAAGACAGGAGGCGACAAAGAGCATAAATCAAAAGGCTAAGTGGAATGATTGAAATAAAAGCATGTCTTAACAATGTCATGTTTATCAGAGTCAGTGATTTCTCTACAGTTAACCACGGTCATTTTTTGCCTCACTGACTTGCCCTGAAGGAACCAGATTTCGAGCCTTTAAGCACTTAGGTTAACTAGCCACCCAAGTACCCTCCCTGGCCTCAACAGGCCAGCTCACACATGGAAAGCTAACCACATACTGTAATGTTGGCAGGATCTTGTTGACCCCACTAAAATTACTCTGAAAGGGGTGCTATGTCTTTCCCTCTTTGCTTTAATTTCCCCTGGAGAAATGGAGAGCATTGTTGTGTTTCTTCCCTCCATTATTAACACAATGGGTTTTCTATTTCATGTAGTCCATAAAAAGTGGGGGGCAAAGCAAAACTGCAAGGCAAATGTCTTTTCTGATTATGTTTCCCATGTGCCATTACAGCTGCTCATAATGCAGTGCAATTTGCTCAAACAGACCTTCATAATCACATCCCTGAAATTCATAAACATGCAATAACTTTATCTCAAAGAGGCCACTGGTGGTTATTAGCAAGTGTCCTCTCAAACATGCATATTTAATTATGTTTACTCTTTAACTACAGGGGATGTCATATAGCATAGTCTGAGAAATATAGAAAGCTTGAAATGTCATGTACCAGGTGAAAATATCCCATCGCCACAGCCCCCTGGCCAGCCAACCATCTCTCTCATTTTCCTTAGTGTGACATATTCCAAAAGTACAAACACTGGAGCAATTTCATAGGTGAACCTGAAATGTAGTAATGTCCATATTTAATGCTTCATCTACAATACTAATACATCTTTTTTCCAATATTACATTACATTATATCCATAATATACTCTACGTTGCACTGGTAGAGTTCTGTTTTACAATACTTTTGATAACCTTCCTTCTGATTTGACAAATGTCTAGAAGTAGAAATGCTGAGAGTGCTTTCCATTTCCACCCTTTTCAGTGAAACAAATCTGGTGTGGCTCTTCCAGGCTCAAGGCTTTGTCCTATATTCAAGAACTGCTGAGCAGAGCCAGACCTTTGCCTTGCAAAAACCTGTGTATGTCTAGAAGCATACACATCAGCAGCCCTATTCATGACAAGACACTGCATGAAGCTAAGCAAATGCACAAAAATGCTTCTTAGCCCCAAAGTAAAAAGAAAGCCCACGCTTTAAATTCTGCACCTCTTTCTTACAAAAAGCAATGGCTCTAACTGCTCTGGGTACGGATTGTACGTAACTCCTCTACATGAATGCAGCTGTTAACTTAGCACACCTTTCTTTTTACATATTTATGCGTGCAAAAAGCTAAAATATTTTTTCTGTATATTTTAGGGGGAGAGCAAAACCAACATCATATCAATATGATGAAATTTTATAAGAGACAACCTACAGGACAATGTTGAAAGTCTCCATGTAAATAGCTGTAGCAACCGTTTAAAAAGCAGACAACTGTTTTTCCAGCAACCTTTCTTTCTTTCGTTCAGCTACAGCAGCCACTATTTTAGAGTATAACTGCAAAATTATGTTAAATATTATTATGGGGAAAAAAAAATCTGCTACTTACATATTAGTATTTGCTGTTGATGTCAGCCAGTCTGCTGCCAATCCAACCATGTCCAATCCAGTTGAAAGTTGATTAAAATATCTAGGGTGCCCTGCATAAGATGGAAATTGTTACTGGAAGGCTGATGACTCTGAATGAAACTATTCAGTGCCAAGCGGTGTATTTACCTCCTGATTTCTATAGAGAAGGAAGTGCTTTCAAGGTACAAAACAAAGCAAATAGCAATAAGTACATTTCTTGGAAAAGGCAGGATTTCTCTTCTTTCTCATTGGAAACTCAGTAAAATCAGAGTAATTACACTGAACACAGAATAATGAATTCCAACATTCCTTATTATCCTCTCAATATGCCTTGAAAATTAGCACAATGCTGCCGCACAAAAATAGCTGTTTGCGCCTGTTAGTGTGTCACATGTTGTCACTGGATGTGGTTTTGCCTGGCTAGGTTTGAAAGGCAACCGCGAGACACCATCTGAAGAGGTTGCCAGTACATATAACATCAGTGATGAATGGCTAATGATTATAATAGACAGGGCGAAATGAGAAAATGGAACATTTTGGTGACTGCTTTGCACATGACTCAATGGCTGATGATCGTACGAAGATGGCAGGGAAGGTGAAGGTCCTTGTCATTTCTTCCCTGTCAGAGAGCAATTACAAATAGCCTGGCTGCTCGCAATTGTGATTTTAAACAAACCCCATGAAAACCAGCACTGCTGCCCCAGCAGAATGATGCATAAGAATATACTCAATGAGCTGACAGTCCATTTACCTGGTTAATCTAATTGGCTCCTAATTTTTTCCTAAAATCCTGCTAGAGATTTTTCTTAAAAATGTGCCTGGACACATTAAACCCCATTAAACCCAGGCACCATTAAAGCTGTGCTTTTACTGGTTGCTTTGCGCAAGCCCCTGTTAAGTGACATAATTATCAGTACAAATTACAGATGATTCACAATTACTTAAACACCATCCAACGCAAAGGAAGGCAGACTCTGCTTGGAAAACACCTGTCCTGACCCACAGACAACATGCTGTATTGCCATCAGAGAAAACAAAAGATAGAGCAATATGGTCGGGGAAATGCAGACCCAGCACCAGGAGAGAACTTATCTTTGGTCTCCAGTGGCCTCTTATCAGGCACCGACACATGGCTGGCAGAACAGCACAGGGAATTGTTCCCCAGCTCCCACCTTGCAGCACACAAAGGCAGAGTAATTGGGCTGTGTGGGCAGACCAGAGCAGGGGATAAGCGCTGGGGGTGCACACATGCAAAATCCAGTTCCCTGTGCCCTTAATCTGAGATGAGCCTCATGCCATTGCCATTCAGCCTGACTGCGTTTTGCACTGAGCCCTCCCCACCAGAGATATGAACTGGCACCTTCCCCTGGTCCATACTGACAGGTGGCTAAAGCCCTTCAGGGACAGAGAGACTTTCCCAAGATCCAGCAGGATGAACAGGATCTGGACCCTGCCCTCCATGCTGTCTAGTGGAGTAGGTGGCCCTGGGGCACATGTGCACCCCACCAGCACTGCCAAAGCCACAGCAATCCCAGGGTCTCTGCCTGCAGAGGACTGCATCTCCCCTGATGATGGGATTTTGAGAGAGATTTCAGTATTTGCAGCTCAGGTTCAGTCTCTTAGCCAGACTCTAAGCAGGGTACCAAATTCCAACCGAAAGCAACAGAAAATTAGGAGCTGAAAACCTTAGGTGAATCTGTGCCACAGGAAAGCTTAAAGATGCCAGAAAAATTCCTGCTTTGGAAATAAATCCACACTGAAAAAACGAGGAATAGTAGAATTCATATCTGCAGCTGCAGTGTCTCAGCAGCTCTCTGTCAGCCCTGTACCCAGCCCCAGGCGACAGCCCTGTTGTCACTGCTTGTTTCTTCAAGGAACCTCACAGCACACCTCTTGCTTTGGGAACTGCGGGAGGAACAGGGCTGGCTGCACATAGGGCTCAGGTCAGCTGCACCCTGGAGCAAGTGAGGTGGGGGGGGAGCAGCACTGTGCTCCTACAAAGACAGGGTGAGCAGGAGCTGCTTCTGCTGGCACAGCTGCTGGCAAAGCCTGCAGTGCCTACACCTGTAACATGGTCCCCTACACTCAGCTCCGCTCCCTTCTGCAGCATGGCTTTAACATGCAATGGCAGAGAACACAATGCCCCAATCTGACCCCAGCCTCAGCTGAAAGAGTTTGTCCATCCATGTGACACCCTAATATATAACCGAGCTCTTTTCCTTTGGCTAGATGGCCACAGAAAATCGTGGCTTTCCTTTAAAATACAGGCTCCACTGCCAGGTAAGAAGAATTTGTGAGAGATCCTCAAAAAATCACTGCCCCGGTGCCTTCTGCCTGAAATGCACATCCTTTGTCATGGCTGTCACTGAACAAAGAGGTGCCTGGAAAAGAGACCAACAGGGTGTGGGGAAAGGGATGAGATGTGAAAATAGGAGATTACTGCTTACTGATTGGTTTAGCAGTACACAGTGTATTTACAGATAATCCAGAGTAAATGGACAGATGATGGGCATGAACCAGAGCTGAGGCACTGGGACACCCAGAGCTGTGCTCCCCATGCCAAGGTTGTTGCTTTGCCCTATGCACCCTCCCCTCAAATATGCTTCTTCCTATGCTTGGTTTCAGGCACAGACATCTTCTAGCATGAACATGAAGCCTCCACAGCCTCGACAGGGAAGAAATGAGAAGGTCTGAGCACAGCTGGACAGCACGGATAAAGGTATGGCCAGTGGCACTGTCTTTGGCCTTGCTCACAACCGCCTGGTGCATGGCCTTCTGCCAGCACCAGGGCCTGCCAAGGATCAAGGCTGGACCAGCACTGGCTTCTCTCACCCTTCCCGGGGTTTCCAGGCCATTGTTAAATGCTCACGTTTCAATTCCCCTGCTCAGCATCACACAGGAACTGAATTCCACATCCATCTTTCCCTGCATTTGCAAGCTGCCTTTTGCATTCTCACAGACAAAATTCTTGCTGGGGGAGGATGCTGGTAGTTGGTGAGGGGCAGAAAGCCCTGTGTGACACCCCCCCCCGGAACCCTACTGAGCCGTGGCACGCAGGCAACATCTGGGAGCATCCCACACCTGCCCCTTGGCCAAAAAATCAGCCAGCCGGTTCCTCCAGTCCCAACCGGGGATTGGTGCTTGGACTTGGGGATCCAGCTGTGAGGCTCTAATTTAAGCAATGCAATTTATTTTCCAATCAGCCTCCTGGGTCCCTTCAGCCAAACACAGCCCAGGCTTCCCTCCAGCTCAGAAGGCACCATGTCCAAACGGCTCCTGGAAGCAGGAGCTGGAACAGAACCTTGCACTGCCCTTCCTCTGAGGGCAATTCAAGTGTTTTGCTCTGAAGCACAAGTGAAAGGGCTTTGGGTGTAAATCCCGAGGATGCTGAGGAGCAGCGATAGCCAAGCGATGTGGCTCTGCACCCCTCAGCTGAACCCCACCCCACCACCACATCTCCCCCCCCCCCCGCATCAGCATCAGTCCTTGGGCTCTGAACGCATTATTTTCATTAAAACACAATCAAAAAATGCCAAGAAGAGAAAGCTTCACATATTTTCAGGGAGGGAGACAAATTGTAACGTTCTTCTAAAGGGTCTGCTTTGAATGCACAAAATGAAATGGGTCCATTATGTGAAACAGTCTTTAACAAAAAACGATTAACGAAAATCACTGAAGAAACCCTATTGTTTGATTTCCCAGATCCACAGATCCTGTTTCACAGCATTCCGTGGAAATATCTTTCCTATGCCCTGCCCAGACACATCACATGGATCACTGGACTGATCGACTTTGTTTCAGTGGACATCATTTATCTAACTATTTATTCCAATATTTTATGGGCATTTTGACAGCACCAAACTCCTACATCCAAAATATTCAGCTAGACATTTCCACATCTAAACAGGAAGGATTATACAGATCCCCCACAACCTTTACTGAGATCAGTCTGTTCTGTCCCCAGAAGGTGACAAAACCTGTTTCGTGTTTCCCCTAAACCTCCATTCACAAATCAGCCTTTTGCCTCCTTCAGTAATTGCTACACATTTATTTCTAAGCAATTTCTCAGTAATTCAAATTCCCACTAAGAGCTCCCCTCGCTCCACATCATTTCTCAATCATAGCTACGGGTTTTGTCTGCTCTGCCGCAGTTTATTTAAGGTGACCCCGGGTACTAAGCCGGGGGGAGACCCCCGCTGACCCCCGCCCGCTACGAAGCCCACATGGCAGCACAGCTAAATGGGAGATGAGGGGGGCCAGAAAGCAGGAATCAGCCCACCTTTGCCTCCCCAGAGAAAACATACAGCAACAAAAGGCTATTAAACCATTTCGGGCTTTTTTTTTTTTTTAATTGCTTGAGCCTAAAGTTGTGGGGGAAAAGCCCTTAATACCCTTGTGCACAGTTTCGTCAAATTCTCCTATTTTTGTGTCCTGCAGGTAACGGGAGACACACAGCAAATGGCCGCTGCGAGCTCCCATTTACAAGATGTTTATTGCGATTTTGGCTTTTAAATGGGCAGGTCCTTGCTGCCCCCCCTGCAGGGAGACGCACACCCCTCACATCCTCACCGCCCGTTCCCGTTGCCTCTGGGCTCCGGTCTGCGGGGAGCAAGAGGCAAGCCCCTGGCCATCTCATGTCAGATGGGTGCAAATGGAAGGAGGAAAGTAGCAAAGGCGGTGAAAAGGCGGCTCTGTGTCACACGCGGCACCTCCGTCTCACAGAAGCATTAATTTTAAACGGGAAAGGGTGCGCGGAGCTGCACGGCCAGCAACCGGGATTCCATCACCCCGGAAAACCATTCCTGCCTCTGCTAGGAACTGCTTGGAAGTGACAAAACACAGTCGCTGCTTCAGTCTCTAACGTTTCAAGAGAAAATGAAATGACACCGTTAATCAATGCAGGAGACCACAGAAGGTAGAAAACGAGAGTGGCCATTACCTGTTTTAATTGCATACTTCAGAGTTGTTCTGCAGTTCAATAAAATCTCTTCCAAGGTTTGTGGCTGGTCTGCCAGTTCCCAGTTATACTCCTGGAGCAGCTCATTTGGGTAATGGAAATCAATAACTTTTGTTGATCTATCAAAACTTTTCACCACATACTGAAGTAAAATGTCCACAACGTCTTGTAGGAAAGACATAGTTGTTATTTCTCCATCACATGCTGGCAAAAGATCTGGGAAAGGAGAAATTTAAAGTTAACTTCGTTTTACAACCTTATACACAGGTTTTGGACAAGGGCTTCTTCAGTTTATGTTTAGGAAATCGTTTAATCGTGTTGAATACAGATGGACTTCGTTTTCATTTAATAAGCCAATTGATAAGACTAGTTTAAGGAATGTTCTGAGAGACGATATCTAGGTTTTAATATCCTACCTAAAATGGCAATTTTTCCACACAGTATATTTCAGACCAATTTTTTGGACAATGGGAATGGGAAATAAGAAAAAAAAAGGGAAAACGAATCACAGGAAAAATAAGTATTGGGAAGCAAATGCTACAAGAAGCCCTCTAAAACCTGCCATCTGCCTTGCAATAAAACACCTCCACTGTGACTCTCCGATGCACGTAACTTGTTGATAATTTAAAGCCTTTTTCTGAGGCGACGTTGCACGGTGTCTCGGTGTGCAATGGCTCAGGCGGAGCCGAGCTATGGCAGAACCCCACAATTCGGGTACCCCGGGAACTCTGGGGCTCAGCGGGAGCAGCGCGGATCTGCAGCCGCCCTCCCTCCCCTCTTCTCTCCCAGCTCGGCGGAACCGGTCGCGCCGCGCTGCCCCGCTCCGCCGTGAGAACGGGAATGTTCCTGGCCAGCGGATTTCCGCGCGGAGCAGGCGTCTATGTAGTAGCGGGGACGCTACCTCTAAGGTCAGGAAAGACGAAACGCAAAAATACCTCGAATTAAAACAAATCACCAAGAGAGCGCTCTTTCTCCCTCCTCCCCTCAAACCTTAATTACAGGCGACTTCAACGAGAAGGTCGCTGCTGTCAGTACTCCGTAGAAAGAGCAACCTGCAGACTCCAGCGCGACGGGATTTTATTGCTCTTTCATTTTTTTTTCCCCGGGATCTTTTGCCTTTTGACTTATTTTTCGGAGGGTTTGGGAACTGCCCAGCTCCCACGGAGGCGCAGGAACGGGCCGGGCCGGGGGTCCGGACCTCCGCGGAGCCTCTGCCGCGCACCGTCGGACTCCCCCCAGATCTCTGCCCACGGCGGGAGGAGGCGATTTCCCTACCGAACCGCTGTTTTAATTTGTTAGCTTTAGAGATGCAGCGTGGCCCGGGAGCGCTGTTACCTGTTGAGTGCAGAAAGGCGTAATTCACCGCCGCTTTCTGGCAGCCGCAGGGCTTTTTGTCGCAGGTACAGGCCGGCCGCATCTCCGCTGCCCCCGGGGCTGCCCTGGCTCCGGTTTCCACAGGCTTCTCGGCATCTCCGTAGAGCAGGGCTTGACAGCGACACGAACACACGGCCTCAGCCCTGCGGCCTCACCCTCGCCCAGTCCCGCCGCCCCCCGCCCCGGGTTAGAGCCCTCGGGAGCTCCGCGGTCGCGCAGCCGGGGCTCCGCCGCGGGCTGCCGGGGCCTCTCTCCCCTTACCGCAGAGTTTGTTTCCGATCCCTCCCGTGAACTTCTGGGCGACCTGGCACCAGGCTCTGGCTGCAAGAGAAAATGGAGCGGAGGGTCCGTGGGGAAGGGCGCGGGCCGAGGGCACCTCGCTCGACACCCGGCACTGCTCCCCAAAAACCCCCTGCCCCGCCGAGCAGAGCCGCGTCGAGCCCGGCAAGAACCGCTGCCGGTCCCCGCCGCTCCGTCCCGCCGGTCCAGCAGCCACAAAGGGGTCTCCGGTGACCGGGGAGCGCTGCCTCTACGGCTCCGTCGGGCCGGCCCATCCCGGCTGTTGGGCGCTCCCCTACCTGTGCCGGGGCTCTCTGAGGCGGCGGAGCCCTCCTCGGCCCCGAAGGGCCAGAAGCCGGAGCCGGGGCTTGCCATGGCGAAGGCGAACCGGCGGGGCGGGCGCGGAGAGGCGAACTGCAGCCCCGGCGGCCCGAGCGACTGTGCGTGAGCGCGGCGGGCGGGTGGGTAAGTGCGCGCGTCTGCGCCGGGCGGCGGCAGGAGGGGCGGGGGCGCCCCGGGCACGCGTGGGTGGGAGCCTCTCCCGTGGGCGCCCCCGGGACGCGTTCCGCCGCTCTGCCACCGCACGCTGACCCCCGACCGAGACGGGGCGGGCGGCGCCGGGAAGGGTCCCCCGCGCCCTGCACCTCGGGGGAAGCTCAGGGCAGAGCCGAGCCATGGGGGCAGCGTGATGTGAGGCTGCAGCTGTCTCGGCTGGGGTGGAGGGGAGCGGGGTGCCCTGTGCCGCCTCCAACACAACGACGGTGCTGCGGTCCCTGCGGCCGCAGCCCGGCGGGATGGGAGTGGGGAGCCGAGACCCTCTCGGCGCCGCCGAGCTCTGAGTGGAGGGGAAGGGTGATTTTCTGGGCCTTAGCGTGGTAGACAGCGACGGTCCAGCCCAGTGCCCCGAGGGGAGGGCTGGGACACGGATCACTGGGGCTACGGGGAAGCCACAACAATCCTGTGAGCTACAAAGCACCGAGAAATGGCCCCCTCCCTCCCAAGCCTTCACTCGGGCACACCCGCGGCTGCGAGCAGGGGACTCCCGGGCAGCAGCGCCGAGGCGGGGGAGTCCCTGGGCGGGGAAGGGACAACCTCCCGAGTCCCGGCCGCCCCCCGGCCTCGTCGGCCCTGGCCGCTGCGGCGAAGGCGAAGGGGCGTGTGCTGGGCTGGGGGAACTCCGTTCCCCGCTCTTGCCCCTGAGCTGGACAGAGAGGTTCCAGCTGCGCTCCCGCGGAGGTGGCGGGTGTAGCCCAGCGCGATGCCGTGGTGCTTGGGAAGGTTCCTGGGTCCTCCGCCTACCGACCGGGCACCGTTCCCGGGGTCTCCCCGCAATCCCCGGGGATGGGTAGCCCGGCAGAGCTCGGTCTCGGAAGCGAGACTGGAAGAGAAGGAAAACTGCTCCTTTTCCCTCCCCGACGTCGTTTCTGAGGGCAACCAAACCTCCCCTTCCATCCAGACGGCGCCCCGCTCCGTGTGACCCTGGAGCCCTTCCTTGCCGTGACTGCCTCTCCTGCGGCACAGGAGGGCCTTTAAGCCCTAACCCTTGAAGGGAGGCAGGCCAGGATTCGGCCCTGCCGGGAGCCCTTGTGAGGCAGCCCCCCGGGTCCTCACAGCCAAGCCCGGGGGCTCCCAGCCTGTGGTCAGCCGAGGGCATCTGTCTTAGCATGCACCCACATGGCTGTCCCCCTGTTGAAAGCTCAATGAAATGTTTTGATGCTTTAAACCACCGTCCTGATGGGAAGGTAAAATAACACCAGCCTGGGCATCTCTATGTGAAATTACAGGTATATTCCAGTTTCCAAATCACATCAGCATTAAGGTAAAATAGAGGGCAACTCTGGCTTTCCATGGCAAGAGGCTGCTGTGAGGTCTTCCCGCTTTGGCTTGCTCATGCCCCAGTCCATGGTGTTTTGTCAGCTCGGGGTGTAATTCAGGCACAGCCAAGTGTATCACTGCTATGTGCATTTTTTATTTACATTATCGTTTTACTAGTACACGAGAAAGCAACTTTAAAACAGATGTTGATATTTAAATAGTCTGTCACAAACTTTACATTGCAGCAATTTTTAATCCAGCACCTAGCCTTATAACTAGTTAGAGATGAGGAAGCCATGATTACCATTTTCTAGGGAAAGAAAGGGCCAAGTGTGTGTGTGGAACAGACAAAGCCCAGCCCCTGTGGCTAGCTGCTGCTGCCAATTGTGGGATTTAGGAGAGCTAAGCTAGGGAGCAGGATCAGGCCTGTATCCTGGCATCCTGAAATTTGCCATCACTTGCTTTGCAGCTGGGAACACGCAATTATGAATCCTGAAAGGAAGCACAGCAATTATCTGTGTGGTTTCTGTGAAACAAGGTCTTTTGAATAAGGAATGGGGGGGGGGGATTTGAACACGGTGGCTATTGCTTTTATTTCCACTTAATTTCTAGCGGAACTGATTAAGAATGATCATTAAATTTTGACAGCAATCAACCAGAGACTGTATTTCTATTCTTTCTATTCCTCTCTTGGCACCCCAGAGATTAAGATTTGTAAAAATCTAATGCAAAGGAGAACAAAGCAAACACGATTTAAAAGTTCATCACTTAGTCACAAAGCTCAGAGGCAGAGGAGAGGGCTGGATATACTCCCCATAAATGGACATTGCCAACATAAACATTATACACACAACAGTGACCTTTAAAACTGGCTACTAGCTTTACAGTAAAGTCAATAATGAAATAAACTCCCATAATACGCTATCCAATTAATCATTTATATTTATTTTCCTTAAAGGGACGCTTGCCATAAACAGTTCATCCCAAAACTCAGGCATTGTAAACCTAAAATGAGCAGAAATTCCCCTATGTTCTTGTCATTCCCCCCCCCCCCCCCCAGTAAAACAATTTATTAGAAACAATAACTAGGGTTTTTTTGAAGGTGCATGTGGGAATTTGAAAGCTTAACTAGGGAACTATAAACTAAATGATCTATTTTAATTGGATGAGATTGATGAAATGCCAAAAAGAACCATGCATTGAGGAATGTAAACTAGATTTAAGCTCCTTAATGTCTAATAATTTTAAGATGTAGCAGTCATATCTGAAAGAAAGATGATTTTTATATTAGCTTTTTTTTAAGGATATGATGCGACTGACAGTGTCCCTTTGCAATGGTGTGGGCCTGTAAACTCACAGTATTCACATTCACATGAACACACACGTTGTAAACTTGAAACATTGGAGATTTAAAAAAAGAAAAAATGAGGAAGCACATGGTATAAAGTGATAAAAAAAAGATTATGCTAATAAAAGCCAAATGGCAGCAGGAACAGCAGCAGCAGCTAGAACTGCTGGATAAGGCGCCGGCGCTGTGAGGTCTTCCGCAGCAGTCGTCTGTAGTCATAGGGATTATCTTCAGTTTTACTCTCTTCCAGGGGGCTTTCTGCAACCCTCGACCTAGGGATTCAGTACAGAAGTGGTTTAGAAATTGAAGTCAAAACATTTACCTTGGCAAACACTCCTAATCGACTGCTTCACCTCCTCCCTCAGAAGGGGGAAATAAAAGGAGAACGAAAAAAAACCAACTGACTTTGCTAGGCCTCTTCCTGCGCTGCATAAAGCAGGCACCTCGGAACAAACACACTATAGACTAAAAGCAGGTGAACACAGAAGAACAACATGTTCTTCTACAAAGGGGACATAATAAAAGGACACAAAACCCTTGAGAACACAGGGGTGCTTTGCAGTAGCGTTTGCCTGATGGTTATTGAACCAGATTTTCAGTCAATTTGTTTGCTCTGTTTCTAACCTGCCTGTGGAGCACAATGTAAATGTCCATTTCATCTTATTTATGTGTTTTTTTTAGATGGCAAGATGCACCTTGGAAGCCGCCTCTGACAGGCTGGAATGGTGACCTGGCATCAGGTGTTACCGTGAAGCAAGATTAAAAATAAAACTCAATTATTTTGCAAGTGTATTACTTTGAAATAATTACAAACATTTCTAGTGTTCTACATTAGAAGTGTACCCACCAGTGGTCCTACAACAGCATCGGAGATAAACTGCCAAATAAAAAATACTCAATGCTTCACTTCTGTAGTCTGAAATGATTGTGTAGTATTTAGATATAGGTAACCCCATTTGAGAGATGCTGAAGGCAGAAGTATTTATTAATTGCATTCATCTGCTCTCAGAGATAACAGTGTAAATTTAGAAGTTACACAGATATTTTCGCTATGGGTAATTAGGATGCAGCCAGAGCAGCACCTGAAAAAAGGTAAGAAATTCCTTTTAGTAAGCTCAGTGGCAAAATTCTCATTCATCTAAACCAAACCCCAAGGTAACAGATTTGATGTATTTAAGCACCTTAGAAATTCAACATTTTCCAAGAGATGTAAGTTATACGATAACTCCCTGATATTATTATTTGTAATTCCATGCCTCCATAACACCTTCCTGAAACTAATTTAGATCCTACCTGAAAAAATCCACTCCCCCCCTCCAAAAAAAAAACATAAAAAAGGAAGTGGCACAACATCTTTTATGAACATTTTCTTTATTACTATAGATACATTTTCAAATTCATTGATCATCCCAGGTTTACTGTTTCCCTTAAGCTTTTGACCTTTATACTTCCCAAGTTTTTCTTACATATCTGAAGATCCAAGAAGATATAAATATATCAAGACATATAAATATGTGTTTGCATGGGCAATGTGTGTGGGTACATTGGCCAGAGTGAGAATACGAATTCCCTTAGCCCAGCAGAGGTCACCCTCTATGAAGTCTATGTGGGAAGAGAGGAGGTGGAGTAAACCATCCCTTTAGGTTTCCCCTTCTGGCTGTCCACCTTGGTGGGGTCCACCATAGGCTAGAAACATGAGTGCTGCTATAGAACAGTAGGAAAAGGACGCTGTCAAGCTGGTGTCTTATCTACAGAAAGCAGGCAGAAAGTTGGCACGCATCCACCCTATTTAAAACCTAGATCAGAAATACAACTTTTAGGTTCTCCTTCAGTTTAATCTGATTTTAGAACAGATATACAGCAGGATGTCTGTCCATCTCATCTGGCACTTGGGAAGCCAAAAACTAGCAGGTAGGCTGAGCACCAATCATACCACCATTTGTCCTTACTGCATAAAGATAGGAAATTTTCAGCTACACGTTTTACAAGTTAATTTGTCAAGATTGCGCGGATAAAAACATAGGTTTGAAAGTCTTTCTTTATGTGAATCTTTTGAATATCTCAACAAGGTTATACAACACTTATTTTTTCCTACTATTATTTTGTCTGAATTACCTTTCAGCAGCTCTTAGTATTGAAGTCTTGCGCTCAGCTGGGTGTCTCTTCTTTCTTGTGGTAGAACTGCTGTCCTTTGAGGTGGGATCAGTAGATGAAATTTCTTGATAGTAGATATCTAAATCTAGGACTTTGCTTAGACTGTCAATAAATA